AAGCCTGGGTCGTACGCGCATGCGCATTGTGATCTATATCTGTAGGGCTCACAGGTACTCATGGCTTCCCCCCGTTAGCAAATTTCAAATCCAAAATTTGCAATAAACATACCAATTTTGGTGCAAATTCACCACAAAACGGACTCAGTCTGTGAATTGTTCATATTATATCTACCCGCTTACCAATTTTCGCATTGATCAAACCAATAATTTTTTAGTTATCGTCGGACAACCAAAGTGGGACACACGGATATACGGACACACTGACACACGACGGACAGGTCGGGACTATAATTGGTCTCTTTCCTTTCAGAAAAGGAGGCTCACTAAATGGCGATGCTACATGACATTGCAGCCAGGATGTTCAAAAGCACTAATGATATGCTCTCGGGTCCACTCTTTGTGACCACATCAACTGTTGGATTACCCATTCGGTTTGAAATGTTGGTAATTTTGTACCTTTTCACGTGGAATGTCCCATTCTCGCCACACATTAATGGAGCCACATTAATGGAGTCTCATGTTTATATTCAGGGGTTTACCTATGAAGTTGCCGTTTTTACGAATTATGAATTTTGACATCTGATAACGTGAAATATGCGTGGAAGGGTGTGATTGGGAGGAACGGCGACTCCGATCTCAATGCGAACGGAAGGCGACTGTTGGATCTCAGTTGCAGCAACGGATTATCCATCATGAACACCTTCTTTCAGCACAAGGATGTCCATAAGTACACCTGGTACAGGGATGCTTTGGGACAAAGGTCCCTGATCGATTTCTTTATCGTGTCAGCAGACCTTTTTCCCTCTGTGCTGGATGTTCGCGTTAAGAGAGGAGCAGAGCTGTCAACTGATCACCATCTTGTTGTCTGCACCTTGCGACTTTCTGAGAACATTGCAANCAAAAATATTTAGCTTTAAGAGGGTTAGGCCTACCCTAAAATTAAGGAACGCTCGACCTCGACACCTGATATCGAAATGGGCGAAATCGCCTCTTGATATCACTAACTCTCCTGACTCCTCACTCCTAAATGGGACATCTCGGCATAGAGTAGCTTGGCCACGAGATCGATGGTCAGGTGATGCCTTCACGATGCAGATATGTAAGATCTTTTTCAATGCAGCCCACTCCAGGGTGGCTAACGCTATTACACGTAGTGCGTCTTATTCAAGGTTAGCCAAAGTGTTCATGAGGTCCTTGTCTCAAAAAGTTTGGGGACCACTGTCCAATGACATTCATTGCAGCGCCATCTAGAGAGCTATTGAGTTTAATGCATTCGCTGCCAATGCATTATTTTTGCAGCTTCCCTGAGACCAAAGTAATCCTCCTAATTCTCGTTTGTGCATCGCACAAGCGATTTTGTGAACGGTGGGCATCGAAAGGAGATGACGAAGGCAATGAACGGCTAATGAATGGAAGGTTTCTGGACAGAAGACCAACAGACACTGAAAAAATTCAACATATTGAATCAGCAGGATAAACCAAGGGGAAAAACAATTCATTTGTCCATTATTTTTTTTATAACCCCATGTGAAAAATACAAGTTTTATTTTCATGTGTGGGCATATCCCCCACAGCATTGACAGTAGTGCCATCAACAGAACGCAGCAACGTCTGGCTAGCTTTAGGAGAGGCGGCGCAAATTTAGCCAAATCCGCACACGCTTGGATCTACCCACCCAACAACTACGCCTGGTGGCGGAAGATCGTCCCCAGTGGAAGTCCGCCTTAGAGCGTCTGCCCCCACGACCCTAACGGACAGTGGGACAAGAAAATGGATGGATGGACATCTGATAACTCTAGTTTGCCATGATATTTTCGCTTCATTATTCTTTTGTCTGAAATATACATTCTTTCTCTTTTTGAACAGGTATAGTAGTCAACATTGTCTCTTAATTAGTGTGTGCAAAATCAGCTTTTGTGGAGACATGGACAAATTAAAAATTCGGATAATTTTTGAATATGAGTTCCGTCGTGGTACCAATGCGGCACCGGCAGCCCGGAATATCAATGACACATATGGACGAACTACCACTAACGAACGTACAGCCCGGTATTGGTTCAATCGTTTCCGTTCTGGAAATTTTGATCTTGCAAATGAGTCCCGTGGGCGACCTGAGACGAAGGTCGATCACAACGAAATGAAGGCGATAGTGGAAATGGATCCATCCCAAACTTCTGGTGAATTAGCATCAAGGTTTGGTGCAAGCATTAAAACCATACTGATTCATTTGGATCAAATTGGTGAAATAAAGAAGCTGGAGAAGTGGGTACCCCACGAATTGAGCGAACACCAAAAAGAAGCCAGTGTAGACTCCTGCACTTCGCTGTTAAATCGTAACAAAAATGAATTGGAAATTGGAATAAAAAAAGATGGGAAATCTCAATGCTGCAATTTGTATGCTTTCAGGGACGGTCTGAAATTGAAAATTCAAGAGGCTGGATGGAGTTAATTTCTGAAAAATTGTGCATATGTAACATGAGTAACGATGGAATGACCCATATAAATTTCCAAACCACTCATGGAACATTTTTCACTGACCTTGTTAAAGAGTGTTTTAAACATCACGATAAAGAACAATTGAAATAGTTCATTACGGAAGACCAACAGACAATGAAAATGTCCCCATTTTGAATCTGCAGGAAAGCCAAGTGAATTTTATTATTTATCAATTATTATGATTTTTTAATTATCCCTATATGTAGAATACTAGTATTTTCATGTGTGTGTCTTTCCCTAACAGCAGCGGTATTGAAAGTACGGCCCGCGGGCAGTATGCACACCATTTTATGATTTTATGCGGTCGACTAACATGAACTAATATTTGACTCTTCCGCATTTAACGGTTTCATTGGTACTCACGAATAATTACGATTAACTCATAGCCATTCTTCAGTTATTTAGATAAATATAATTTATTATATTTAGATGTTTAAGTATTTAGGTGTACAACTGCTGAACATACCAAAAATTCGAATCATCCATATGCTCCAAGGATATTTTTCCTTCCTCGCAAGTAACCGTAATTCAAACCAAGATGGGTAATCCCATGCCAGTAGTGGGCCTCCTTTCATCAAAGAAGGCCCTCATTTTGTCACCTACTTTTACAAAAATACCGTCGCTTTCCGGTCTTCGACCATCAAAAGTCTAATTTTTCAGTTAGATTTGGCAAATCTACCCGTGGTGTCCATGAAATGATGGGAAGATGCAGGATTGTGTACGGTTCGATCCGTCTGCCACGTAGGCTAGTTGAGAACTGACAGCACTTGTTGGGGACATGGCCTGGTTCTTACACGCATACGCATTATGGTTAATTTTCTAAAGGGCTTTCGAGAACTCATGCCTCCCCCCCGCGAGAAAATTTAAATTCCAAAATTCAATTTTAGGGTAATTTTGGGGCGAATTCGCCACAAAATGAACTCAGCCTGTATCTTGTTCCTCTAGACCTGCCTGCCGATTTTCGCATTGATCAACCTAACATTTTCGTAGGTATAATGGAAAAACCAGTGTCACACACAGACGGACACGACGGGACTCCAAATGGCCTCATTCCTTTCAGAAAAGAAGGCCCAATAAAAAGGGGAGCAATCGGAAATACAACTTGCAAAAAAGCAGCACCTAGAACCAATGCATTTACAAGGTCTGATCAAAAAGTTCCAGTACTTTCTTTTTTAAAAATAAACCGCTTTAGGTGGGGGGGGGGGGGGGGGGGGGGGGGGGGGGGGGGGGGGGGGGGGGGGGGGGGGGGNAGGGGGGGGGGGGGTAGGACTAGTGTAGGTGGGAGTGGGGGTAACCGCACGCATATTGATACCCTCTCTTGCGCTAGGATTAACCAGTCGCGAATCACGAGTGTTGAAATCCTGTCGTCTCTGTGCTCTTCATCGAATTTTCGATCATGCATCATGAGTTTGTCCTACAAGGACAGACAATTAACCAGGCTTACTGCAAATATGTTTTGACCCGGCTGCGAGAAAAAATTAGAATACGGCCCCAACTTTTCCAAAATTAAGCCTGGGTTTTGCATCACGACAATGCTCCAGCCCACACTGCTCTCACAATTCGGGAGTTTTTGGCTAAAAAAAAAATTCCTATGTTGCCCCACCCTCCCTATTCATCGGACCTTGCTCCGTGTGACTTTTTCCTGTTCCCAAAGATTAAATTTCACGTGAAAGGAAAAAGATGTGTAGACATTGCAAGCATTAAGGAAAATGCGATGAGCCAGCTAAAAAGTCTTACACTCCAGGACTTCCAGCTTCCTGAAGTTGCAGGAGCGTTGGGATAAGTCCATAGCATCGAGGGGGGAATACTTTGAAGGGGACAAAAATTAATTTTAATGTACTCATTAAAAATAAAGTTTACGAATAAAAGTACTGGAACTTTTTGATCAGACCTCGTACATGAGCCCTGACTCCAAGCAGTGGCAGTTTCGGTGACTGCGAGAAGACTACAAGAAATGTGTGCGGATGCAATAGGAATGGGCAGTTATCAATTGCGGTTCATATATTAAATGGGACATCTCGGCATAGAGTAGCTTGGCCACGAGATCGATGGTCAGGTGATGCCTTCACGATGCAGATATGTTAGATCTTTTTCAATGCAGCCCACTCCAGGGTGGCTAACGCTATTACACGTAGTGCGTCCTATTCAAGGTTAACCAAAGTGTTCATGAGGTCCTTGTCTCAAAAAGTTTGGGGACCACTGTCCAATGACATTCATTGCAGCGCCATCTAGAGAGCTGTTGAGTTTAATGCATTCGCTGCCAATGCATTATTTTGGCAGCTTCCCTGAGACCAAAGTAATCCTCCTAATTCTCGTTTGTGCATCGCACAAGCGATTTTGTGAACGGTGGGCATCGAACGGAGATGACGAAGGCAATGAACGGCTAATGAATGGAAGGTTTCTGGACAGAAGACCAACAGACACTGAAAAAATTTAACATATTGAATCAGTAGGATAAACCTAGGGGAAAAACAATTCATTTGTCCATTATTTTTTTATAACCCCATATGAAAAATACAAGTTTTATTTTCATGTGTGGGCATATCCCCCACAGCATTGACAGTAGTGCCATCAACAGAACGCAGCAACGTCTGGCTAGCTTTAGGAGAGGCGGCGCAAATTTAGCCAAATCCGCGCAGTCTGGTGTTCTGTAACTGTGGGCCTTGAAGGAAGGAAAAAAAATCGTTAAGAAAAACAAGTGAATCACGTGATCATAGTATACACGTCAGTCTACTACCAACTTACCACTTCGAGAGTTGGAATGAGGACGAACAGTTCTTGTAGGAGGAATGTATAAGAGAAAAGTGTCCTGGAAAATCCCAGATGATTGAGAGGCTGCATTGGAAAAGATCCCAGGCTCGGTTTCACTTTGACATATCCCAGTTGGGATGGACAAATGACCAACCAACTACAAATGAAGATCATGGGAAAAAATTCAACCGAGCAAAAATGACCATGCTATGCATGGATGTGAGCTGCCGAAAGAAGACCTACCCTGTAAAACCCTGTATGGTCTTGACAGATGAGAGGGGCACCTGGTTCCCCACACCAGACGGAGGAGAAGGTGACGCAGAGGGAATTCAGTGGAAGGGGACTCTCCTTGGTGATTTTCTCCCTGCAAACCTTCGGATCAGCAATCCTTGCGGAATAGGTTACCGGATCGGGTGTAGGGAATATCCAATCTCCATTGAAAGAAAAACACCGCCGTCATATGGTCAATGTTAAAGAATGAAAATAACCAAGTTCTTTTTCCAGAAGCCGCTACCTTTCATGTGACTGATGAGTTTGCACTGAGAGAAGTCCTGAAGTCCCTGGGAATCCTGGGTACAAAGAATGCACGCCCCTGTATTCAGTTCCACTGGCATCTCCAGAATGATCATCTCTAAGTCATTAGCAAGAGTTTCTTCTCGATATTCGGGATGTTGAACCCGTTTTCTGATTAGATGACGAACAGAACTCCCGAATACTTGAACCGAAAGGGACTCTACATTTCCCTCTTCACTGTGAAAAGAAAAATTGAAAATCCCAAACGTAAGCAAGAAGAGGCTAAACACACACTCTCCTTAAGAGGTTACAGATTTTGGTGGATTGCCAAAAATGAATTTTATGGGAGCGAATAAACTATGTATTGGATTTTCAGCGCCCATCTAGTTGAGGGTTATTCGAAATGAACACATCACTAACTGCCTACTAATGAATAAATTTCCTCCCCAACTCGCGATAATTTCGGACATTTTGACAACAGTTTAAAAACAGCATTTTCATCAGATCAAAAATTGAGTCCTAGGAGTGATAAAGCTTACAATTTTTATTGTTTCTTTTTATTCATAAATTGAAATCTTCGGTCAACTGGCGTACTTTGTTTTCGCATTAATATTCACCTCTAATATATATAGACCATCGTGACTAACGCTAATTCTAACCATGTTCTGGAGAAGTTAGAAATCTGAAACTTGGTACACATGTACTTTTTGGGATGCAGAGTTCACAAAAAAACGACTTTGGAGGTAGATGCCCTGGGGGCACCCATTTTGGGGGAGATGTTTCCAAGTAATTTTTCTTTGCCTAGCGAATTGGCCAGAGATAGAAAGGTGAAAATTGCTACAGAAGTACCGTTTGAGAATTTGAATTCAGAAAAATTCAGGCTTTGGAGGTAAATGCCCCGGGGGCACAAATTCCAGGGGGACATATTTTTAAATGCATTTTTTTTGCTTCATTCAAACGGATAAACATGGAAAGCTGAAACGTGAGATGGACGTACCTACTGAGACTCTGAGTTCAGGAAAACTGGAAATTTTTGGAAACATGCCCTGGGAGCATTTTTCAAAGGTGCTTTTTTTTCCGGAAACTTTTCTCTTTCAATGAAGGAGAGAACTTTTGAAAACATTTGAAGTTAGGCACACGAGAAAAAATGTGAGTAATTATTCCGATGAAGACATCGGTTTGTTTACTCTCGAAACACATTCCGATGGGCACATTCTTTTAATAGGTTTTTTGCCACTTTCAAAATAAATCATTGAATGAATCAATATCTTAGAAATGGAACGCCGAAGGGTCGACAATAGCGAGTTTGTTTGCCCGAAGGACAAATAAACTCGCTAATTTAAATATATGTTCCATTTTAAGAATATATAATTTTTGTCTATTTCATTAACCGAACGACTCGACTGGTTTGTTTTGCGTCTCTTGATATGTTCTAGAAATGTCTTCCCTTTAAACGCAATCAGAATGAATGTACGTGGGGTATTTACAAAGTTCTGGGAATTTATTTCTATCACTGCAACGGCTGATCAAAGCCTACCTGAAAACCTACCACATGCTTCGGCTGGTCATAAACACGACTTCAAACTATTATTTACTTAGCATGTGTCAGTAAGAAGTTATCAGTTTTCCCGTTGGGAACACTGGCAGTCTTGGAAGATGCGGTAAATTTTCAAAGAGCCATCACTTTCTTTTCATGGAAGGAAGTTGTTAGGAAGTCAGAAACTATTCAATGTTTGAAAGCTGTTTATGGATCTAAAAATACCGCCTATTGCTGGATCGATCGTTTTAAGATTGGAAGAACGAGCCTTGAAGATGACCATTGCAGTGGTTGACCAAACACTGCTGTTAACGAAGAAAATGTCATAGCTGTGGAGATAAAGTTAATGAAAGTGAGACGAATCAACATTCGCGAGATTGCAGCAAGTGTATGCATCAGCTTCAGAAAAGTTCATCAAATTTTACACGACCGTCTTGGAGTGAGCAAGGTTTGCACGATGGGTATCGCGGCTGTTTTATGGGGCAAGAACAGAACCTCAATCATGTGGAGATTTCTACAAGCTCTAAAGGAACAATATAAAGATAGTTTCTGGCAACAAATCATCATGATAGATGAGACCTTACTTTAAAACACTAACAAAAAATTCCGTCCATGAAATGGCGGCGACCGTCTGATGGCCCTCCGATTAAAGCAAGGACTACGCCATCTGTTGTTAAGGTTATGATAACAGTGGTTTGGGATTGCCAGGAAATAAACACGATTGATTATCTGCAAAAGGTTCCACGATAACTGCTCAATATTACTCTGATTTCCCGAAGGGACTGCTGCGTGAGGTACTCCAGAAAAAAACGGCCAGGAAAGCTCCATTCCCAACCATTACAGCAGCAAGACGATGCGGGGTCACACACTGTTCGTCTCATCAAGGCCGTTTTGTCAGATTTGCGCTGGGAATTGCTGCCACACCCCCACTACTACCTGGACCTGGCTCCCAGTGACTGCCATTTATTTGGGGAAATGAAGAAAACCACTTCGGGGAATCCATTTTGAGTCCCTATCTGAAGTTAAAGCAGCGATAAATGAGTGGATAGAACACATTCCATAAAAGTTCTGTGAAGATGGACTAAAAATTAGTCACTCGCTGGCACTGGCAAAATAAGTGCAATTTTTCAACCTAATCATGATTTAGCAGTATACAAATGTATACTGCTAAATGGTGATTAGGTTGAAAAATTGCACTTAGTAGCGAAGAAAAGTACCCAAATAAGAAATTAGCGCATAAATTCCCAGAATTTAGTAAACACCCCTCGTACCTGGTGCATAGATGTCACATACCACGCTGTATTGTATTCCAAAAAATGGATTCAGCCTCGTGCTATATTCTTGGATTTGGTATCAAATCATTTTACGATTCAGATCCAGATATTGATAACCGAAGAATGTGACTTAAGCAAGAAACTTTACCTCAAAATGCTTGAACAGCAATTACAATGCTCAACCGCTGGTGGTTCTTCTTTTTAACAGCTAATATTTATTTTCACACCAAACGTTATGAAATAGTCGTTTGACGACAGCCCCTCCTAAGGTGACAAGAATTCCAGAACAGAGAAATACATCCATGCATCCTCCCCTACACTACTGAGAAATTGATTCTCTTTTCATATCATCCATAAAAGTACCGAAGGATATCATTAATAATACATGTCGGAAGAGCAGGAAGCAACAGTAGAGACGATTTGCCGTTCGATCAGTGAACCACTGCATATGATGCTCCCCCTGGAATCTACGATAGCTGCATTCCAGCAATATCGTGGATGGGTTGTGTGGATACTCTTCTCAGGCCAGCATGTTTCGTTCGTCAGTCTTGACTGAGGAAGAAATATTCCTGAGGAAATGTAACAGAATATACGTTTAAAACATTAAAATAGAAAGTTTCTCATTCGATCATGAAACAGAAAAAAAGTGATGAAGCAAAATTCCATTCATAAAAGGGATTCAAACCATAAGGGCTACGTCTAGAAGATAATAGACTACATTGGTTGGTATATATGAGCACGGATATATATAACTAAGGAGTTTATAATATTTTTGTCATATCATCATTTTTTTATTTTGTGACAAAATAGCTGGCCAAATGGATGGGATACTCGGATGAGTATCACAAAAATTATTTTTTCTTGTCTGGCAGTCTCTTATGCCTAATTTTTACTTCCTATCTCAATTTTGACAGAATTGAAACACTGTATTGCGATGTCAAGTCATATCCATCGTGAGGAGAGCCTGGGACTAGTTGGAATGGATTGCTAAGTGCAACTTCAACTGAAAAAATGCAGACTTTTTCACCTCACTTTGCTGGTGGTATTATGTCATTCATAGTTAAAAGCAGTTTCAAATTTTCGTAATTAAGTATTCTAGTCCTTTCTAATTACTTAATACGCAATTTCTTTTTTCTTTCCATTTCAATGTAACACCCACAACAACTTTTTAAAATACATGTAAGAGATTCTGGGATGTCCAAAATAACGTGCCATAGATGATATTGCCGATATTGTTTCCTAAGGTCTCCCACCTGATATCCATCGGTTTCACAGACTAGTGTAAATGTATTCGGTTAATAATTTTCGCCAAGAATTGGCTTAATTAATCCCCTCGGTGGAAGGTTTTCGACACGCTATGAGAGAAGCCTGAGTGTTTCTCGGGCATACCACTGAAGAAATTCAATTAAATTATATTGGAAATTCAATTAAATTACTCCTAAAATGAGAAAACACACAGAGGCCATAAGTATGCGGGAAAAATTAAATGATCACGCGCCAGAACGATTGGCCCCCCCCCCCCCATTCAACAAACAGGACTGTGCAAACGTCCTGTCTCATAGGAATCCCTTACACTGAATCAAATGTTGAAACTGCTTTGGAATGTTTCTCAGATTGTGCAGCACTCAAAAGAGGGACTTTCACGTGAGGGTATTCGCCGCCTTATCCATGTACATGAAACAGTCCAAAGCAACCCGTTTTAACATTTGACTTGGTGAAAGAGATTCCTACCAGACAGGACTTTTGCTCCACCCTGTATTTTACACTTTTGAACCTCGCAAGTTTTGCTGCACCTGATGGAGCAACTTAATGGGTACCTATATTGTACCGAAAGTGCGTATATACACCCACGCGAGTCTACTTCATACTGTCTGAACGGGTATATATGTCCGAATGGGTATAGGCATAGGCTTAGGTTCCTACATTTTATACCAAAAGTATTGAGACACCAAGGCAAATGCAAATAACAGGCCAGGTCAGCCTCCGAGAGGGCATCTTAACAATGCAGCAGTATAAAGGAAGCTACAGCGGGAAGATATCGTTCCGATCTGATCAAAGCTCCGATCTGAACCTCATTGAACACCTTTGGAATGAATAGGAAAGGCGTTTGGGGAGCCGTCCATGGAAGTCGAGGTCACTTCCCGAAATTAAGACAGTTCTGCTTGAGTAATGGCCAAAGGCCATATTCCATATTTTAAAAATGTCCTACCCTAAAATTAAGGAACTCTCGACCTCGACACGTGATATCGAAATGGGCGAAATCGCCTCTTGATATCACTAACTTTCTTGACTCTTGACTAGGCTGGAGAGCAATTATCCTTGCTGCCGATACCATACTTTGATGACCTTATATCTGCTGAAGCCATTGTTGAAAACAGAATCTCGCTGAAAAGACACACTACTTTTCATACTCCTACTACTAGTTATGAAAGAGGTTGGTCTGATATATATTGTTCAATAATTTGCATTTTTTAACATAGGGAAAGTGGGGCGAAATGGGGCTAGTGGCAAAAAGGGGAAACTCAGATTTTAACCTAACCATAACCGACATCTATCGGCTATTTACCATATTAAAGCTGACCACGACGGGTACTAGCCTTCAGCCATGGCGGCGCATACAAGGAGCAAAATAAGAAAATATCGACTTTTAAAATTTTGTTTCAAGTTTTCATGAGCGAAACAGAGTAAGTAAATTTTCGATGCACCAACTCAATCCTTGAAGAGAATGCTCATTTTTGGAATTTTTCTCTACTAATATGGTAACATAATCGTTATGGCTGTGAACTTTAAAGAACGATTTTCTCCATTTCCTTCAGCCTCAACGTTTTCCCCTTCATATTTGTGTTGAATCATAGAGTGCAAGAATACTTCTGTATTCTTTTGTACTATCACATTTTGGTTACTACTGGCAAATATATCACTTTTCCGTAATGGCAACAAGAATTTCATTGCTTGTACTTGATTCAGTATTAATCATTTGCTACTTCGTTTCCCACTTCCTATCCGTGAAGAATGTAAAAAATGGAAGAAAAGCATAAAAGTAAGAATTAAGCTTAACATTATTTATTCATTGTTATTGACAATGAAGCAGCAGGTAAAAAATGCCCATATCTAGTTCCTGTTATAGTTTAATGGTCATGTTACATTTCCTGCGAATTGCTTTGATCCGAAGGTGGCTTTAGGTCAGATATAGGGTTTCAGTGCATTCCGGAAGATAGGAGAGAGTCGAAATATGGGAGGCGTTGAGGATGAAGCTCAGGTGAGACTTCCACATGCATGTGATGATAGAGTCCCTGACGAGGGGACTGGGCCATTCACAGTAGAAATCACTTGGAAGATTGAAGCCTATTGCATTGTTCCCGCAGGGATGCGGCAGACTAAGGCACTCATCTACGTCTAGACAGCCAGCGCATATGAGCGTGGCAAAAGTGGGCAACTTCGAGCTTTAGTGAGCGAAAAAAAAACGAAGGAAAAATTACTTGCCTTTGCAAGGGTGAGTGGGCGGGTCTCCAAGGAATCCCGTTTTGCACTTGCACGCGTACGTGCCCGGCTGATTCACGCACAGCGCGTGGACACCGCACACGTTCGGGTCCTTGCATTCGTTCACATCTGCGGGCGAAAATGCAATCGAACATGCAATGTTCGAACATGAATGCAATGCGAACATTTCATCATTGTGAATTCGGTCTCGCCACTCCCGAAAATCCCGACATAATATTCATGTTGAACTCGAGTCGAGAAGTTGGATGTGGACCTGTACACTACTGCACTGAATCAAATTCTTCGGGACTCCATTGACACTGTCCCGAGTACCCCCCCCCCCTCCCCCCTTCATGCATTGCAGCGCATCAAATAAATTCAGGAGTTCTCTGTATAAGGGGCGTATGTGCCCATATGCCCTTTTTCCATATTCGTGTCCATATGCAGCTTCAGATGACTTGTTATCAGATAGGGTGGTAAGCAAGTAGTTAAGATGAGTATTCAGCAAGGGAGAAGCAAATATTCCTATGCTCTCTCTATATAGCAGACCAACTGGCAAATTCAATATGACTGCCTCCAAGGCTAGTTGCGAAACAAGCCTATGCAAGAAAAAAAAACGTAGCCCAGGGAAAAGGCCCTACCATGCATTCAGTTAACTGTGTCCTACACTGACAGACTGGAGCGATGTCCAGATTGCCTCTGCTACCTTCAGGCCTTTGCCTTGACACATTAGGCCTATAACACCTGGCCCAACCCCGACTAACTGGATAAGCTAAACCCTAGGATGAATTAAGAAAAGTTATGGGAGAGAAGCCCATGCACTGGTAAACTGTCATCATCACCGGGATCGTATTGCAGTCACTCTGTGCTGCAACAGCCGCACATCCGAGCTGTATATACAGCAGAGTTATAAAGAACCTCCAAACTAATGCAACCACGAAAATGCAGTATCACCCCCTTCAGATGGATACTTGTGAAGATCTTGCTTGAATTGCTGAGAGAAGAGTTCAAAGTGTTTTCTCAAGAGGTCTCTTGAGAATCCATTATTCCTCAGCCTTTGGTGCAGAAAATGTATACATATTTTGCCATTTTCGCAATTTGGGCAGAGCTCCGCTTGCATATGCAAAAAAATGTCAATGAAGGAATAAACGTTGCAGGCGAATCACCTAGATTCTCACAGAATTTAGTATACAATTTTTTCTTTCGGTTTTTTCTCTTCAGTCAGAAGGATATTGAAACATTGCATTGTTTGGGCTTTTCCATGAATAGAAACGGTAATGGAAAGGTTTGGTTTTCCATGAAAACCAAATGGACATCTTCACGAACATAGCTTTTGAAAGATTGCTTTCTCAAAATCTTCAGAAACAAACTGGGCCAATTCCTGTCGAATCGACTGCGCTGGGAGACATATCGGTTGTCAATATTAAATGATACCGCCATCAATGACCTCATTTTTCCGCCGCATTAATTTCCAGAGGATGGTCGAGAATGCCATCTCAACCATGTCGTATAATGTGATGAGCGATGCGCCGAGGCAGACGCCGACGATTCCGCCGATGTTGGACAGGACATCCAGGAGGGTCAATTTCTCCTGCTCCCGAAAATAAGGGACCTGTGAAAGAAATCAGAGAACCATTCAGCGCCTCATTTTCCTCCTGGTTATGCGACAGGACATATGTTCGACTTGTTTTGAAGGGAAGCTGATGAGGAGCCGAGCATTATAGATGCCTAGGTTCATTTCACTTTCCACATCGCACGCATCGGTTGGGGGGGCAAGCACATCATATATGGTGATGTTACAACGCTTGGGACAGTTGCATTCCTTCCACCCCTGGGGTAGGCTGTTGTTGTGGATCTTGTGCAACATCGACAGGAGGTCAGTTTCTGCTCTCATATCAGCGCATTTGGGCGCGGTAAGATTCGCGTCCTTGGAAAGGAAGGAGGGACTGAGGCACGGCAAATCCATGTGCAACTGGACGTGTTCCCAGAAACAGTTTTCCCAACACTGCAATGAAAATTATGCATTGACGAAATACACTGAATCCGTGAAATTCTGAATTTAAAATGGAACTCGATTTGCGTGAACCCTTGAATAGCTGTATCCATAATCCCCGACGCATGGAGCCGTCCTTTTGCTCAGTCTCTGGACGACGTGAGGATGTACCATGAGTCTCGTGCTTGTGCCGTTGAAGATTCTAATTTTTTCGGGCGCTAAGCCGAACACATTCGTGAATTCCTCCGAATTATCGTGGATGTAAACGTCGATCTGCATCTAAAAAATCATCAGAGGGAAAAGTTTTCTTTCAATTTGAAATTGTCTACTGTCAAATATCTACAACAACCACTGGAGGATCCTCTCACTTTGTTCACGAAGTCTGAAGTCGTGATTCCCGTGAATTTGAATTTGAAGAGAATATTGGAGCAACTATTCTCCCCGGCGGTTATTTCTCTCTTTGGGAATATGGAGAAACACTTGAAATAATAAGGAGCATACGGTTCCTTTTCCTCGAAATTCCCGAGAAAGGTTCGCTCGCTCCAATGGCCAACACCTGCAAAAATATCGTTTAGAGACAAGGGGCAGTGGGAAGGAAAACTCAAGTAACCTTATTTTGACCTATGACAGCGATACGGGAAAACGATCCAAACCTTTGAAAAACTCTCACTCTCCTCTGACTCCTGACCTTCCCTTCTTCTACAAAATTCTTTAAATCTGCATTTAGAGCCATAGAAACAAACGAAGAAATTAGGACGATGGGTGTCTTTGTGAAAGCCCGTGTCAACGCATATGGCGACGAGCTGAAGAATTATTAAAATCATGAGGCATTGAAATCCCTGGATTCACGACAGCTGGCAGGAAGCACTGCAGTCCGCGATGCCAGCGTTGCCTTTCGAGAACCAAGGCAACTCTCGTTTCCATGTTCACCCGAAAGATCGCGAGACGAGAGCTAATCTTCGAATTTCAATGTAAATTGCCTTCCCTCCCTTTTTTTGGCCCATTTGAAAATTTCATTTGGAAATGGCACATTTTCGGGTGGTAAGGAATAGTTCTGTCGAAACCCCAGGTTTGTCAACCCATTTGTCTAACCTCCGGTTTGAACAATTTTTCAGGCAGATCAGGATGTCTTCATCGCACCCAATAGTACCTGCGGAATACTTTATGATATGGTTTTGGCATTGAATTGCGTGATATGACCGTAGAAGTCCGAGGTAACGTGATGCGAATAATGGGCATTCCATGAGAATCGCTGCAATTCCTCATGATGGATTACAGAATTAATGTCATTGCACATAATATATTCTTTGTTTCTCTCTCTCTCTGTTCTCTCTCCATTCTCTTTTTTCTATTTTCTTTTCATCCAATTCCGGGGTGCTGGAAATTTCAAAGGGCTCCTACACTCGAATCCTACGTAGCGGAAATCGCTGAAAATGTATGTTCATGCAATTAGCGACTCCACGATTATGGAACTCCTCCTGTAATATTGATTCAAGCCTGATCATTCGAATTTCGCGCAATACGTCCCTTTAGAATGATGAGACATAACCCACTGATATTCATCAAAAGGGGAATTAGGGGTCTCTACGACTAAAGTAAGAATTCCCCTTTTTAACGTTGATATCTCTCGAGATCCAATTTCGTACAGTATGACTCATTTGAGTGTTATCTGACGGAACAACCAAAAAATTGTAATATACAGTTACGGACGTTGCTACAACGGCAACTGCTGGCGATAATCGTTGTCATTAACTTGTCGTGTTACCAGTCCGGTCGCAGGTTTGCCAGAGTAATTCACTTAAGTCTGCAGGATTCAATTAATTATTCATATTTATTCTTGGAAGTTGATGTCGCCCTTCAAATTTCACAAAGAAGGAGCGGAGTTTAAACTACTCTGTGACGCGATCCACGGAATGTAAGAGACAGATATACAGATATTCTTCAAAGAGTAATAGCCAATGAAAGAGCAGGACGGAGGACGAAACGCTACTTCAGTGGCTACTTCCAAGGCCATTGGAACTGACCCTTCCAGGGCCAATGGAACTGATTGAATTGGACGGCACGAAACAAATGCCTTGATTTGAAGCATTTCTCCGACGGCGTGCGTATGCTCTTACTCCATTGAAAGACAGGCACCTCATTTGGTGTAGATTTTAATTGTTATGTCATCCCATTCTCAACTTATACCTTTAAAAAACCTGTTTCTATTGCTCTCAAACACTCAGACTCACAATATACATCGCCAATTTCCTCCGCTTCTATACACATCCTTCAAACCTCCTGCACAAAAAACCTCAAGCAACTTTACTTTGCACTCCAGCACCATCATTTGAAACCCCAGGAACAACTATTCGGCGCACCCCAACATCCAATAACAACTTCCCAATTGGCATTGTATTTCCATAAGAGGTTTTAGAACAGTTTCCTGGAAATAACATACCGTCGAGCTGAAAGATGGTTTCTCCATTGATTATTGACTTATTTCCCAGACGCCTCCAACCTTTGGGAGCCAGTTCGACCAATCGGATAAGAGGTATGGAAATGTTCTGGAATTTCTCTATGTACGTGGAGGTTTTGAGTTCTAACCGCCACTGTGTCGACATGATGAGATTGTCTGGGAAGCGGCCGAGGGTGGACGGCTTCGGGCAGAAGGTGAATGCCGGTGCCGGGATCTTTTCCACGTCTTCGATCACGTAGAGGGTGTTGGTCGGGAGGGACTGGTATTCCTCGATCAGGATCATCACCTGTAGGTAGCATTAACTTGCAATTGTTCAAAACACGCTTACAGCTGCATGGGAAATATTTCGAAGCTGAGGTCTGGCCAAAATAAACAATACATCTAGAAATTCTAAGATTTCGACAGAAAATATTATAGCACGGGTTTTCTTTGAAAATTTCTTTTCATCTCTGTGCTTCATGACCATTTCATGATTGCGACTGTGGGTGTCTCTCAGTTTTAAACTATAGGAGAAATGTTAAAAACAATCTCAGGAGATACAGTGGAGTGCGAAAAAAAGTTACGTCAGATTTTGTGGTAATTCTGAATAATCGATAAGAGGCGTCATCAAAGAACATAATCGGGTTCCAGCCGACGTCATTGTAAGGCACTGCATTTTGCACTCGTCTCTTCTTTTGCTTCTTGGTCAGCATTGGCGTCGTGATATTAATAACCGGGTCGAGCAAGGTGACGCTGCAATGTCTATTTGAGCACATGCCGGCCTTTGTTCTCTCGCAATTCCCTGACAACTTCTTCTGCCGTTGTTTCGAATCCAATGACAGATCGCAATACTGTCCGCGGGGGTAATCAAACAGGGTAGGCCATCGCCCCCCCCCCTTATGCTTCAAGGTGCCTCTCTCTTGGATCTTGGTCGTATTATACTGAAGACTGCGGAGGGGGTTCTTCGTTTGACGAGTGATTTCCGCATCACAGCCGTAATCAAGATTTTAATGATTCAAGATGATTGATTGGTTCTTCGAGAAATGGTTAGTGAACAAATCATGCACCATTTCCAGCAGACTCAAGCAATTTGAGATTTGTTGTACACACTGGTACATATAGACCCCTATTTCATATTCTAGAAGGTTTTTTCCAATTTCGTCAGTATTAGAACGATCCATCTAAGTGGGAGCCAAAGGGAAAATTTGTCCTTGATCTCGAAGCACCAATACTCAATGTCGATCACGAGTTTATTGTGGAATTCTGATTGAGAGAAAAGCTGTTTCGGCAAAAAGCATTCTTGAGTTATTTCTTCCACATTCAAAAAATGGATGTTCCAACCCGAGAATGCACTGCACGTACCTGCTCGACAGCGAGGAATGTACATCCCAGGATCACGATGGCCTTCATGGTGTTTCGGACCGCTCTCCGCTTCCTCTTGCCAATGATGCCTTCCCATGAAAAGAAAAGATAATAACTTTTTTTTCTTCATATATTTTTGCATCGTCGCTGGGAGAATTATACCTTGGGGTTCCTGTGACGGGAGATCTTTGGCCATTTTTCGGATCTTCCAAGCCTGGGATGAAGCGCTGTTCATTGAGGAATTGGAACTTTATCGATCGGAGCAAGTTGGTCATGCAGTACATTTCCAATGTGTGTTTCTCCAAAAATTAAACAAACCATTACCAAGTATGGTAATTTTCATGAAGCTGTTCGAAATGATGTCTCAAATGAGAAACATAGAACCTTGCAACTAAAATGAATTGAGTCACCCAGAATTACGTTGTTTTCCTTTTTAAGGGGACAATAATTATTTTCGATTATGTGATACTCGAAATTATTCCTATCAGCATCTTAAAGTAATAATACTATCGATTGAAAAGGAAGATCGTTGAGGGCCATCGATTTCCAGATGAGAAATTGCGATAATTCCATGGATACTCAGGCATCCTATCTGAGGAAAACGGTAATCGCAAAGATTCCATCTGCTCTTACTCTTGCTTATTTCTTTACTCTTTCATCGGAATTCCTTTCCTTATTCCACCATATTGTGGATATCCATCGATACGACTAAAGTAAAGAGAAGATGGAAAGTCCAACAAGTAATAGAGTAAACGAGAAGGAAGTTTGAGTTAAATGAAGTTGGAGTGAAAATTGTGCGGAAAAGGATATTAAATGACAATGAATGAAGGTATATCAATGTGTCATGAATGTANATTCTGATTGAGAGAAAAGCTGTTTCGGCAAAAAGCATTCTTGAGTTATTTCTTCCACATTCAAAAAATGGATGTTCCAACCCGAGAATGCACTGCACGTACCTGCTCGACAGCGAGGAATGTACATCCCAGGATCACGATGGTCTTCATGGTGTTTCGGACCGCTCTCCGCTTCCTCTTGCCAATGATGCCTTCCCACGAAAAGAAAACATAATAACTTTTCTTGTCTTCAAATATTTTTGCATCGTCGCTGGGAGAATTATACCTTGGGGTTCCTGTGACGGGAGATCTTTGGCCATTTTTCGGATCTTCCAAGCATGGGATGAAGCGCTGTTCATTGAGGAATTGGAACTTTATCGATCGGAGCAAGTTGGGCATGCAGTACATTTCCAATGTGTGTTTCTCCAAAAATTAAACAAACCATTACCAAGTATGGTAATTTTCATGAAGCTGTTCGAAATGATGTCTCAAATGAGAAACATAGAACCTTGCAACTAAAATGAATTGAGTCACCCAGAATTACGTTGTTTTCCTTTTTAAGGGGACAATAATTATTTTCGATTATGTGATACTCGAAATTATTCCTATCAGCATCTTAAAGTAATAATACTATCGATTGAAAAGGAAGATCGTTGAGGGCCATCGATTTCCAGATGAGAAATTGCGATAATTCCATGGATACTCAGGCATCCTATCTGAGGAAAACGGTAATCGCAAAGATTCCATCTGCTCTTACTCTTGCTTATTTCTTTACTCTTTCATCGGAATTCCTTTCCTTATTCCACCATATTGTGGATATCCATCGATACGACTAAAGTAAAGAGAAGATGGAAAGTCCAACAAGTAATAGAGTAAACGAGAAGGAAGTTCGAGTTAAATGAAGTTGGAGTGAAAATTGTGCGGAAAAGGATATTAAATGACAATGAATGAAGGTATATCAATGTGTCATGAATGTATCGAAACCGAAACGAGGAATGAAGTGCAACCGATTGCCAGATTGAAGGAAGTTGATATGAACATTAAAATGACCCTGGGATCAAAAGAAACGGGAATTGAATTCTGGAAGACAATCTGAAATGAAAGATGGAGCCAGCCTCACCAAAAGAAGTTGACCGAATCCTACTACCTGCCTCCACGCACAGTTTGAAGGCCGCAGTAGAGTCTATGAGTAGACAGTGAACTCTGGTACACTGTCTCTCCTCGTATTTGTTGAGCATATTGACGCAGTTCTCATTGTACATTCATGAGATTCGGCGGCACTTGCCAAACACAGTTCCCTCCATCTAAGTTATTAATTCAAACTGGAGGACCTCGGTTGCTAGGCAACTGAGGTACTTGGCGTGTTATGGTAGCTATCATTTGGATTCACCGTAGTGCAAAATTTTTGGACACAAATTTAAGACCATGGGCAACGCGATTCAGTTGTCATTGGTCACCACAACAATAATGCTTCTCATCATCTGAGGATGTGCCTTTTCGGAAAAAATAAATTGTGCGACGCCATCTTTGATGCGACAGCGCAAGGCGGTAGAATCTTGGTTCGAGGCGAGGCCGTTGCGCTTCCATGTCGAACTATGACCTGTGCGGCGGCGCAATGAATGGGAGCGGATTTGTGACATCCATCCCAGTTCCTTTCTAAAAAAAGGGGGGGGGGGAATTGTTTTCCCGTCTCGCAGTCATAGCGATATATAACAAACTTTCTAAGAGTTTATTATGTGATCGACGGTAGCTTGTAGAGAAAAGGGGGATTTGCAGTTGATGACTTCGCTGTGTGTTGCATGTTCCCTGCCTTCCGACGTCCGCATTTGAGAGGTTCATTTCCTTCTTTTTCATCTCGTATCTCTAAAGACGGAAAGTTGAGTAGCGGGGTGCAGGGGAAAACACGCGCTGGGGTTTAAAATACGAACAGGCGAGCCTGAGTCCTCCACGCTCTTCATTATGAATACATATGATGACTGTTAACCTGTCGGAAAAACCTTCGCATGGAGGGTTCGTATCTTGAAGAATCGCAAAACACCAGATATACTGGAAAATATTTATGTGAATACCGAATAGCACCGGAACGAAAAAGTACTGTTCAGCGAACGTCGCCCTTGAGGGCGATGACCCTCTCCCTCTCCCTCTGATTCTGGAATTTCTCTATGTACGTGGAGGTTTTGAGTTCTAACCGCCACTGTGTCGACATGATGAGATTGTCTGGGAAGCGGCCGAGGGTGGTCGGCTTCGGGCAGAAGGTGAATGCCGGTGCCGGGATCTTTTCCACGTCTTCGATCACGTAGAGGGTGTTGGTCGGGAGGGACTGGTATTCCTCGATCAGGATCATCACCTGTAGGTAGCATTAACTTGCAATTGTTCAAAA